AACGATAACTCAGGGAACAAATTTTGACTTAATTGAATTTTGTCTTTTAAATTCTCTTAAGGAGTTTAAAGAAGCTATGAAAAGATGACTGATAAATTGATATAATTTTGACTTTAAAAAATATATATTTAATTCTAAACTAGAATTAATGAACATAAAAGAACATCAAAATTAAATTTAGATAAAACTAAAAATATTATAATATCTTTGTGATTTTGTATGATAATTTTGTTATATTCATATCTTAAAAAATTTTTATTAATTAAAATAAAATGTCTAGAGCTATACGTAGATATGTGAATTCAAAAGAGGAAATGGAATATAATAGAGGATATAGTGCTGAAGAAATGCAAGCAGCTAAATTGAGAAAAGCTTTTGTTTAAAAATATATAGCAGATTTTGATACAAACTTTTACAAGACTTAAGAAGAAAGAGATTGGGGATATGTAGTCAGAAGAGAGTAAAGTTTTTCATTAAGGTATCTAGATATCGATATGATGTGACATATACATCACTTGTTGATGGATGGGCATGTGCTGCAGTAGTTTCAATGGTTAGAATGTTTTAGACAAAAAGATTCTCATGGGCACCTTATTTTGTTGTTTGGCCTATTGCTTATCTTTATTTTTAGCCAATTTAATTTTTGAAACATAATAAGAAATATTTTGATATGTGTAATTTAGGAGAAACATATTATCTTGGTAAAGAGAGAAATAAGGTTCTGGCTGAATGTAATAGAATCTTGGATAGAGAAGATTTCTGATCTTTAAAATAATATATACAAATATAATAATATTAATTTATAATTTTATATTATTTGTTTATTCATTCTTTTTAAAGAAACCTACGAGCTTCAGTTTCAACTAATTTCTACATTGAAATATTTGAATGAATATTTCTTAAGTATTTATTTTTTTGAAGAATTTCTTCAGCTATCTTTTTAGCAATGCTTTCTAAATTTACTTCCTTTTTTTCTGGATTTTTTTGAAGCTAAATTTATTTATTTTATATTTTACTTATTCTTCTTCTTAAATAGTAACATGCTTTTTATTAGGTTTTTGATTAGTATTATTATTCTGTTTTAATGCTTTCTTTGCTGCTTCTTTTTATGTCAATTATGGATTCTCTATACGTATTTCCTCTATTCTCTTTTTTAGAGCTTCTACAACCGTTTTAACCTATTATTAATAGTATTTATACTTCTAAATCATTTATATATTACTCATAATCTAAGTTTTTAGTAAAATCTAATAATTCATTTAATTCTTAATCATCAATTATTTCATCCCCTAATTCATTGTTATTTGCTTATAAATTTTATTATTCTTATTATATTTCTTCTACTTTAGTTGTTTTATTTTGCGGTTAAGATGTTTATTGTATTTATTATTCAGTCTATTAATTTTATTTGTCACTATTTGATCTATACCTATCAGGATGTAAGCGAGATTGAACTTAAGAACAATGTAATGCAGTTTTTTTCTCTTTAACATGCTTTTGAAAATTTTAAAGCCATTCCTTATGCTAACTCAATATTGGTTTAATTTCTTAATAGTTGAAACATGATAAATACATTTAATGGGTTAATGAATTTACAGTTACTTAACTGGATTGTAACCGAGAGGTTCAGCATGTGTTACTCTTGATACAAAAGGTCTACAAATATGATGAAATCAAGTTACTTATGATAATCTAAATTAATAGATGCTTGTGGTCTATTACAAAGCATTATCCCTTTATAATGTTCCATCATTTTTTTACAATAATAATTATAATTTATTTTATTAATAACAATTTATCAATAATCTATGTTTATACAAATAGAAATTTTTCATCAATAATAATTAGAACATAATGAACAAACTTCTATATATTATAAGATGATTTTAAAAAATAATAAAAAGTAAATAGATTTATTAACAAAGGAATAGAATTTTATTAACTCTTTGATTAAATATGGAGCTAAATTGCAATGATAAATAGAATTTTATATGAAAAAAATTGATAAATTAATAATGATCTAAAATATTAGACTAAAAGAAGATCTTTTATAATTAACTATACTATGTTATATGAAAAAATAAAATAAAGTTGAATCAATCCTTTAATTATAATTCTTGTAATTCTTTTTCAATTTATTAATATTCATTAGCCATTTCCTAATTTTAAAATCTGAATTCTTCTTCAAATGTGTCCAAATAATGTATTAATTATTATTTCTATTTTTCACTTGCTTCCTTAATTAGATTTATAGATTACTTAGATTCTGCTATCAATAACTCTTTCTAAATCATCCATCTTATAAGACTTACTTTTTTATCGTTGATTCTTCATAGCAATAAAATGTGTCTATGCTTATATTGGACCTTCTATGTTTGCTTTTAAATTTTCTCTAAACTTTTCTATTGCTTAAATGCCATACTTATCAACTTAAAATTTGAAATCTTCTAATTTCTAATAGATTTGTATATACTTACTTTAGTAACAAATTCTAAATCTTATTATTTACATGTCCTTTACAAAATGTGATCATTTACAACTTATGTTGATTATTCAAGTGTTTTTTTCAATTCAACATCAATGTCTCTTAAAAAAGTCAAATAAATTTAGTACATATTTTAAAAATAATAAATATATTATCAAATATTTCTCACCTTTTGTTCAGTGATTTTAGTTCCTTTTTTTGCAGCTTCATAATAAGATCTTTCAACTTCAAAATAAATTTAAAATCCATCAACTCTTTCATTATTTAAGAGTTATTACACCCATTTCTTCTATCCAAAGAAAAGCTTACCTAGTTATCTACCTATACTTGAGTGTTGGAATAGATCATTAAAATCTTTAAAACTGTCATGATACCTAGGATTTTATTTACGTTTAGAAATGAATTTTTAAACCACTGGACATTATATGGGTCCTACTTCGGTTTCAATCCAATTTCTAAAATGTCTACCAAAGGTATAGGGTACATTCTTATATCGGCCTTGCTTTTTCTTTTTTATAGTTGGACATTTCTTTGCTAATGTATTAGGATCGGTGTCAGCCTCAGCTTAACACCAGTGATTGGTTAGCTAAAATTCAACTTAATCACACTCACTGTGTTAATATAGCTGCTCTTCTTCACTAAAACTATCTCTTCTCAGTAATGGACACATTGTCTTCATTTCAATAACTTAAATTATTGGTTAATTAAATCTTAATTAAGAAATCATTTTAATATTATAGATGCAAATTATAACCAGTTATCTACATTATGTGAATAGATTAATATAACCAAAATTAGATAAAAAGAAGATAAGCAAATCTACATTAAAGACTATAATGATTCAAATAAATTGATAAAGAGCAAAATATTACAAAATTGCAATTGTTTTTAGATTTAAAGATAGTAGAAATATATAGAATTTAATGATTTATAAGAGATATTTAATATTTTCTATTAAAATTAAAAATAAAATGAATAAAAATATTTGTATAGATTAAGAATCATTCTAATTCAGATTTAAATATCTTATTCAATCTTATATTTCTTTTCATATTATTTTTTCTTTTACCTAGACAATCAGTTCCATCATTTTCTTCTTAATGAACACTCATAAATTCATTAAAATGTTATTTAAGTGGTTTTTTTAATATTTTTTCCATTTCTCTCATTGTATGTAATGAATCTTTGTTTTCCATTCTGAAAAATGTTTAAACTGCTTTAGTATTTGCTTGAAATTCTCTAAGTTAATCAATACTTTTATGAAAATAACTAACTTATGGTTATGATGATTAATTAATTTTAATAGGTTGATCTTCTTTTTCATTTTCAATTGGATTAAGTAAAATATTTCTTGAGGATGATATAATTTAATGATCACTTTTTCTTTTAGGTGCAATAATTCTTTCAGTATTACTTTATTATTATTAAGATGATAAAAATTCTTCTGATTTTTATTTTAGTAATTTACTTGGAGTAAGTTGAGGAGTATTAAGTGTAGTAGATGAAACATTATTACTTGTTTGATAATTACTTTCTAATTTTTCCATTTTTTTTTAATTATGATTTGTATGATATGATTAAGGATGTAATAATTCTGGAGAGATGGATGCTGATTTTGGACTAGAAACATGAATTTATTTGAGTTATTTAAGTTTTGTTGATTTAATTAATTTATTAGCTTATTAAGCATAAAATTTTGAGTATTCTTAATGAGGTACTTTTTCTTTTTTTTCTATTTATATACCTTTTTATAATAGATATTTTTTTAAGAGTTCAAACTTTTCATTAACTGATAATTCATTATTTTATTATTAATGTCTTTTTGAATTAAAACTTTTGATAGTTTCCTTATAAAAATCAGAGGAATCATTATTAACATCCTATAAAAAATTTAAGTTATTGATTTAATCAAGTACTTAATTTTTTGATTATTATCTTAAGTTACGTTTATTGATTGTTTCTTAAATTCTATGTAAATTGTGATGTGTTTCAAGTGTCATAGAAGATTCTTATACCATAGTTGCAATTTCATTTGGTGAGAAATCTAATTAAAGTATATCAAGGATTAGATTTTATTTTTCTTCATCATTTTCTATATTGTTTAGCATATCAATTTCTAATTCCAATTATTTAGAGATTGCAATAATATGGTTTTTTTCATCATCTTCTTTTTTGAAGAATTATCTAAGTTTTGCTTATTATTTTAAATGTTAAATAATGATTTAAACTTATTTAAATTGAAGTGGATTAAGTAATTTCAGTCTTTTAGTTAGATCAACAAATGTTTTAATTTTTTACATGGATTTCATAGTATGTTCAAATCTTTTTTAACGATTTCCTAATCTAATTTAAATGAAAAGAGATTTACAGATTCTTAGCAACTTATGGATTTGATTGGAATAACATTTTTATGTTTTAATTAGTATTTATTATTTTTTGTATATATTATAAAGCAGTTATCATGTAAATGGAATTAAGAAAATACTAATTTATAAAATATTGACATATGAAAACATCAAATTGAATATGGATTTATCTACTAAAGAATTTATGGATTGAATGTTTAAAATTACCATGAAGATGGATAATGAGATGGCTAATGTTGAGGTTGATGTTGATGTGCATTTTAATTTTGATGTTGATGTTGATGTTAATTTTAAGTTTGATGCTAATGTTATATAAATGGTTATTGAATATGTCTAGGTCCTGTTCCATTCCATCTTCTATAAGGATTATAATTATTTCCTTTATTATTTTAATCGACTAAACTTCTTAATTCATAAGGAATATCATTTTAAGATTCTCTAAGAATCTCAACTAAGTCTTTGGCCATTCTTGCATCTTCATCTGAAGCAAAGAATGAAATTGATTGACCAATAGCTCCAGCACGACCTAAAGAATAAATTGAAAGTGAATACCAGTTCTACCAATTCTATGTACATAATCTTCGATTACTTTTGGCATATCATAATTTACAACGATTTCAATATCCTTTATATCTAATCCTCTTGATGCAACATCTGTAGCTATAAGTGCTGTAGATCTTCCATTTCTAAAATGACTCATTACATAATCCCTCTCCTATATATTTATAATATAATATTACGCTCTACTTCTTATCTCCATGTAATGCGAGACATCTAATACCTTCTCTATCTAAAGTCTTTTAAAGTTAATCGCATCCCTTCTTGGTGGAACAAAAGATCAATATTTTTTTGTGTGCAATGTCCTTCAACAAATAGAGCAACCTTAATATATTCAAATAACAAAGATATTGATGATCTTGTATATATATTTTGATTCATCAATAGTTTGATTATACCTTTAATTCTTTTCAATTGCTTTCATCACGTACACTATTTATTTAATCATCTTATTTGATGTTAGTTCTACATTTCCAATTTAAATGTGAACTGGCTCTTATTTACAAAAATCAAGTGCTAATTTTTGAACTTCTTTTGGCCAGGTCGCAGAAAAAAGCATAGTTTATCTTTAAGGACGGATTTAATCAACTATCTTTCTAATCTGTGGCTCGAAACCCATATCGAGCATACGATCGGCTTCATCGAGTACGAGGAAACTAACCTATTTGAGGGTGGTACAACCCTAATCCAATAGATCAATCAAACGTCCTGGACAAGCAATCAAAACTTAAGGGCCTTTACGCAATTGACTTTTCTGTATATAGCGATCTTGTCCTCCATAAAGGCATGCTGCATAAAGTTAAGATCCCACTGAAAACTTTTAGAACTGATCATATATTTGCAATGTCAATTCTCTCGTTGGAGCCAAAATCAAACATTTGGCATCATGGGATCTAGCTTATGCCAAAATGTGGACAATCGCTGGTAAAAGGAAGGCAAGAGTTTTACCAGAACCCGTCTGCGCTATTCCAATGAGGTCATGTCCAGTTAATGCAATCGACCATCCTTGGGCTTATATGGCAGTGGGTCCTTTGAAACCGGCCTTCAACAGTAAGTCCATCAATATCTGTGGGAAACATTAAACATCCTCAAATCTCATGATAGGATCTGGGACATTTACATGTTGAGATCGAATGAAGATATTATGTTAGGCCCTATATTCTTTGATTGTCTCTGCGCTTGATATGGATTAGATGGGCTTCACTATTAGAATTTGAATTTGTACATTCATAAACACCTTCTTAATAGGACTCGATGAACGTGGTCTAGGTGATCTTGAACGACGACTATGATGTACTCTTCTTCTTCTTGAATGATGACGTTCTGACGATGAATCTGAAGATGAAGAAGAAGAACTTGAATGTCTCCTGTGTTTCTTACTATGCTTCTCTATACATATTCAATTTTAAAGCATTTACTTCTGTGGCTTCTACTAGAGCTGGAAGAATGTCTTGGCATTATTTTAATAATTTAAATTCTATAATATCATCCAATAAACATCACTTCATAAATTCCGATAATTACACTCTACTAGATTATAATAAATTTAAACAATATCAATGTTTGAATTAATTTAGAGTAGCTCTTATACTTTCTTATTTTTGACTAAACAAAATATCCTTAAATTCATGATAATGTTTTTAAATTTTAAGAAATGGCACTCCCTTATTCTTTCAATATACTCACATGATCTTCAAGGTCTTAGGATACATCTTATCCTATTTAATCAGATTAAATCTTCCAATTATTGTTAATTCCAAAAAATATTAAATCAATGATAAAAGCCACTAATAAATTTATAAATAGTAAAGTAAGAGGTATAACAGCACTTAATTTGGATAATAATTTATTTGAGACATCATTCCAATCTTATGAAACTCCCATACCATTCTAAGTGTAAATGTATGGGTAACCATAAATTAATACACTAAAAATTAAATGTAGTAAAAGAAAGAAATGGGTAAATTTCAATGTGATAATTTTTATAGATTTTAATTGTTCCTATAATTTTACCTATTATTTTTCATTATAACTATGATATTTTAATAACATATTCTTATCATAAATATATTATAATCCTATTTGTATTATTCCTAATAGTGGTAATAGAGGTATACCTGCTGATATAATTGTTGATAGGAATATACTAAATAATAATTTAGCATATCTAAGTCCAGTCTTAAAAGTTGGATTACTATTGATTAATGGAGAATCACGTCTAAATGATTTTCCTGTTTTGATATCTAAATTCTATCTTGATTAAACATTATAATTTATACTCTCATCTAAATTTAATAAAAAAAAGAGTTTAATGAGATTAATTATTATTATTCGCAGGAGTTTTTAATTATCCAGTCAATCTTTATCTTTCTTCATCATTTTCATCTGTTAATAAAGAACCAATTAATTATAATTCTTCTTAATCTCTTATTCCCCCAATTATACATCGACATCCTGATGCAATACTTAAAATAATCAATTTCAGAGTATAAAATATTGATACCCATAACAATATCAATCCATGATTAATAATCCATTTTCTAAAAATTAATCATTTTTCTATTGATGTATAACTTTAAATGACTAATACAATATTTCCAATTGTTTCCCATGAATTAATATTGGTACCAATAATGTATAACATATCAAATAGACTATAATTCTAATTAAAATAACTTTTTATTCTTAAACTAAATAAATTTATTTTTCTTTATTAATGATTAATTCCAAAAAGATCCATCCTAATATATCTGCAATAAATATCCAAAATCCTGTTATTATATAATAAGCAGTTCTTGTAAAATCATTATCTAAACAGTATTCAGTACATTTGACTGTATTGTTTCTTGCATTCTTCAAAGCCATATTTTCAAATACTATCAATGGTGCTAATAATATTATTGCTACGACCAAATGCATAAGAATTACTTAAACATTGTTTCTTTCTTAATAATCCGCCATTTCTTACTAAACAATCTTAATTATATTTCTCATAAAATAGATCACGATCAACTTTACTCTTAAAAACAACGAAAGCCTTTATTGATTCTAAGTCATCTGAAGCTAAGAAGATATTGAATTTCTATGACAATTCTTTTGTAATATCTTTTAATTCATCAGTCAAACTCTGATGAAATCTTGTCTTACGTACATATCTGCTTATGATAATCTCTTAGAAAATACTTCTAACTTTTTCTTTTCTAATCTGATCTATCTCTCTTTGAATGCTTTGTTCTTCATAATGCTAAGAGTACCCTAGAAATTACGAACTAAATATATTTCATGTGTATTAGATTAAAGAATGGAACGTAAATCTTCTGGATCAATTGTAGCTGATGGAAATCCATTTATTTCTATCGTAAATATATTAATGACAAAAAGTAAAGAAGTGTTCCAATTGCATCTCCTAAGACTCCAATTAGAAATGCAGTTTCATTTGAAATATCAATATTAGGTACTGTAAATGTTTCTAATTATAACTGAAATTAATTGAATATGCTATTTTCTGTAATGCAGAATATTAATTATGGTAAGTGAAGTATGGCGAAGATAACCATTAGTATAAAGTCCCATCTAAGAATACGAAAGTAAAAGACGATTGAATTATCAAAACAGTTATCTATTGATGCAAATATGTATTCAGGTGGTTATTCCATTTTAATAGTAATAAATATAAATTAATTAAATACATGATGATGAAAAAAAGATTATTATTATAACAGTTAGATTTGGCTGCTCCAAAAAAGCAGACAGGTCCTTATAAGCAATTCTTGTAAGAATAATTAGCAATTTAACATCTTAAATATCCTTAAAGAACAACAGATGAATTAACAAAATTGATAAATCTAATGTGGAAGGTGAGAGAAAAAAAGAATAATCAAATGTATTTTTAGCACAATGGATACGTGAATATCAGTGAGACAGAAAGGGTGCCTGTTCCTCAGCCCCCTCCTCCGGTGTTGATAATGTTTAAAAATATATAATGTGAAAAAGCTTCCAAAAAAATATGAGGCAACTCCTCTAGTTTACACATCCAGAGTATAATGGAGAATAGGTGGATCACACAATTAAATTCGAATGGACTTTAAATTCCACCCAAAGATAGAAAGCAGCTGAGGAATTCAGATAGTTGAGACAAGTTTAAATTAGTATAACAATATGATTAGGAATTCGAGAAAGAAAAGAAAGAATTTATTAATAGGTATGGTTTCTGGCCTCAACATAAAAAATCTTAAGGTGAGTAAATTGATAAGACCAAATAATCTAGTCCAAAATTAGATCCCCTAGATTTAAATCTAATGAAAAAAGTTAAGCTGGAATGAAATTAATGAAAAATGAGATAAAAAAATACAAAACAAAACATACTTTGTAAAATTTAGAAAAAAAAAAAAAAAATACAGAACTTTAATCAGTTCTCCTTCTCTCATATCCAGATATTGGAATTACTTAATTTAAAATTAAATTTTTTCTTTTCACTTAAAAGAGCGGCAAAATAAAATACTATTAAGATACTATCTTATCTATTCATTCTTACAAATTGGATGACGATATTTATGTGTGTTTACTGTTTTTCACATTACTTAAACTTCTTTTCAATTTATTTGTTGTTTTATTTATCATCTATGCATAAACTATTTTATTTTATTATATTTAGGATCCTCACCATTGGAAGAAATCCCAACCTCCATAACCATACCAACCAACCAATCCATCCACCATAATTATGTATTCTAACTACCCAATTACCATCATAAACCCTTCAATAATGCATAATATCATTTTCAATCACGTACATTTTTATTTTTAGAATAATGAATCAATGCTTTGAATGTTAACATTTCAACCATTAAACTAATCCAAAATCATACAAAGATCTTGAACTAAATACTATATATTAACAAGTAGATTAAACTACTAATACAAAGATTAAAGTCATGTCCAGATACCTCCATGAAAGTGTTTACAACCTATATATCTTTAAATTTATTGATTCATTATTAAATTTCTAATTTAATTATCAAATTACATTTTAATATTTATTATCATTAATTAAATTGAAACTCTATATTATTTTAATATCTCTCATTAAATTATAAATAATATTTTACATTTTTTAATATAAAATAATATATATCAATATTCTTCTCTAAATTTTGATTATTAATATATAATTACTAGAAATAAGTTCTTTTTTTTACAATAGAATCTTAAATATATTAAATAATTTTATTTTTATAGTTGTTACTTAATTTTTAAAAAATTAATAGTATAGTGATCTATTTATAATGAAGAATAGATTCTAAAACATAGAGTAATATGATAAGAAGATCAATAAAAATTGACAATTAAAAATCTATGTTTATTATTATTTGATTATGCTTAATTTTGGAACTAAGTGTACATAATAATTAAATAAATGTTCGTTAGAGCACAAGTTCCAAAAAGCAGAACTTCATTAACTCCATAGAATTTCAAACCAATTTGCATAGAATAACGTGGAGATTGTACTCCAACAAGAAGCAATAATATTAGTTACTATGAACACAGTATTCTCATTTAAGAACCATCTCAATAATCCTTATAGAATTGTACTAGAAGAGTTGAAGAGAAAGTGTAAAAGAAAGTGATCAATTCAAGTTCATCTAATTTAAGAAATAGATACATTTCAGACAAGGAAAATTTAGTAAGGGTTCCTGGATAATCCTTTGGAGGGAATCAACCTTCAAGTAAGGAATTAATGTAGGTTATAAATAATCTAAAAAAATAAAAAGAAGACATTTGTTGTACACTTTCTGAAACACTCAAAAAAAATACTATATATCAAGAATAAATTGATGTAATTATTAATATAAAATAATTTAGATTGTTAATATAGAAATTGAACAATAATCTCTTAATTATTAATAAAATTTAGATGAATTTATGAATGAATTTAATGAACTCACTTAAAAAATATCATAGTTAGAGGAACAGAATACTAAATTATTTGAATAAAATGAACATTAGAAATGGTATTTGTAATAGATTTAATGTTAATCTTCAAGGTATTAAAAATTTAATATGAATATAGATTTAATTAAACTCACAATTTTGGAACAGGTTGATTTTATTTAACTTAAATTAGATATAAACAATAAATAATTTTTATATAATATAATTTAAATGGCAAGTTTTGCATCTAGAACAGGGTAGAAAGTAAGTCATAAATATTAAATTTTAGATTAAAGAATGGTGGGGAGCTAAAGTTACTGTTGATCCTTAATTGGAAACTAAAAAATAAAAGATTAATGAGATAGATCAATATATTAAAGGATTGTCATAATCCTTTAATAATATTTCAGCTTTGTTTTAATGTATAAATAATAATTTAATTTAGAAATGCATGGTCATATGGGAAGAATAAGCTCAATCACTCAGAAATTATTTGAGAGAGAAACTGATACTAATAAGAGAATAGGAATAGAAGTAACATCCATGTTTGGTAATCTTTCAGAATTATTTCGTTCAAAAGTATATAGTAATTATAAAGAATAGACTGAACCAACAGCTGAATTGAATAAAAATTATGGAGAATGGTTTTAGACTATAGAGACTTTAAAAATTCAACTTGCAAATTTTTCTGAGGTTAGATTGATTTATGATCATTATAAATTAAAAGTAGATGAATTAGAGAAAGATAGATCTAATGCACTTACAAAAGGATAACCAGAAGATTTTAAATTATCAGATAAAATAAGGAGAGTATCAATTTTAAATATTTATAAAGAATTAAAGTAAATTATCAAGTTCTGAAACAAATTATAAATAAAAGTTATCTGAAATATTAAATAATATGAATAAATTATTAGGAAACTATTATAGAATGATAAATTAAAGTCTTGATTCTGTAATTAAATTTATTTATATTTAGTTTATAACAATCAATTATGATTTATATATGAATGCTAAATCAATTGTTAAAAAAAATTAAAAAGCATTTAATAAATTTAAATATCCAGAATTAGAACCTATAATAGATTTATTAAGAGAATAAAAAGAGATGTCATCTTTATTAGAAAGAGAATAATAAAGAGAAAAAGAATTGAAAGAATTAAAAGAAAAAGAAAAAAATGAAAAAGAAAAAGAAAAAAATGAAAAAGAAAAAGAAAAAAATAATAATGAAAAAGATGATAAATAATAATAATAATAAGTACCACCATAATAAACTCCATAATGGGAAGTTAATAATAAATTTAATCCATTTGGTTAAACATAATAAATGAATAATTCATAAACACATTAAATGATCAATAATCCTTAAATGATTAATCCTATGATAAACTCTTAAACTGATTTTACAAATGGATTTGGAATTAATACAATACCTAAATAATAATAATAATTTAATATTAATCCTATGATGTCTTAAAGATAATCAATACAATCATAAGGTATGAATAACAATTTTGCTATGAATTTTCAACCTAATCAAAATAGAGTAGATATATTTGATGATGTTGGATTATAAATGATGAGTGATTTAAGAGCTAGTTAAATAAATAATTGGTAGTAATAATAATAATATACTTAAAGTCAAATTCTTAATTAAAATAATTTTGTTAATAATAATCCATTTATGAATTCATAACAATTGAATTAAAGACCTAATTTGTAATAAAACTAAGGATTTTCATAATTTGATTCCTAAATTAATAGATCTTAATAACCAAATCCTTTTGCAGAATTAGATAATGAGACTTAAAGAAGGGCTATGTATGATAATCCATATACATATAGCTAACAATTTTAAGATAATTAGAAGACTAATCCTTTTGCATGATTAATATTAAATCTATTTATAAATTCATTTTTATATAATTATTTTGAATCAATAATGAAATAAAAGTAATTAACAACTAAAAAGTCAGACATTGATCTTGGTAATAAAGATCAGTTAAATTATATAATTGAAATTCTCTAAAAAGATTAAAGTATAAGGACAAATCAAGATGTTGAAATAACAAGGAAAGCTTTTATTTCATTCAAGTTTTTTTAAGACTTAGAATAATAGATGGGTCAAGAGATGGTAAGTAATTTATATAGATAATTATCTCATGAAACTATTAAAGCAAGATAAGTTGTATTTAATCTTGGAGATATTGGAAAGAAGTTTTATATTATACTTTCTGGAAGTGTTTGGGTTCTTATATAGAAAAAGGGATTATAAGATGGTAATTAGATAGGACAAGAGGAGAAAAAAAAGGAGGAAGAATTAAGAAGATAAAATACAAGAAAGGCTACATTGAAACATTAATAAAGTATGATGAAATCTAAGAGAATTAAAAAGTAAGAAACTTTTTTTACAGAAACAAATCAAGTGCTTATAGATGAAGTGTATTAAAAAATGACAGATGCAGAATATTTAGAATGTCAATTTCCAACATTATAAAAAGTAGGTTTAATGAAATCTGGGGATAATTTTGGAGAGATTGCATTAACTAAATAAGTACCAAGAACTGCTACAATTGTTGCAGCTGAAGATACAAATTTTGCAATAGTATCTAGGGAACAATTCAATATATTATTATCATCATATTATGAATATATACAGTAACAAAATGTTATGTTTTTATAAAAAGTACCTGCATTTACAGAATGGAATGAATAGATGTTAAATTAAATTTATTATCATTTTACATTTGAAGATTATAAAATGTTTGATGTAATTTATAAAGAAAATTAACCTTCAAAGTAATATTATTAATAATGGTAGTAAAATTTATATTGTAAAAAATGGAGAAATAGAGATTTCTTAAAATATAGAAGTTGGTACTATGATTACTGAAAATAATTTAACAATTTAAAGATTCTTTAAAAAAAATGATAAAAAATATGAAAGAGTGAGAACTGGTATAATCACATCTGGATTAGTCTTTGGTTATTAAGAAGTTATTAAAGATGTGGTAAGAGAACATAGAGCTATTTGTATTAGTTAAAAAGCATAAGTATTTTCATTGGATAAGGATAGATTTTTATAATATTTTAAAAAAGGAGGAGCTATTTAAAAATTAATTAAACTTGATCAAACTAATCATTCTCGTAAGTCTAAGAGTGTTTCAGTAATAAAAGATCTTAAATCATTTTCTCCTCCAATTGCATTTAGAGAAATTCCATATTTTGAAGAAGATGACAAAATTTCTGATTTTGTAATAAAAAAAGCT